TTGGACAAAGTCCTGTGCAGCCTGCTCTGGGTGACCCTGCTTCGGCAGGGGGGTTGGACCAGATGACTCAGAGAGGTCCCTTCCAACCCCTAATGTTCTGTGATTCTGTGGTTTCTGTCTGTAGGAGTTCCTCATGAATTATTGCCTTGGGGATTTGGTAAAAGCCTTCCCCCGTGGCTGAAACGCAGCTGACGTGCTGAGGCTCTCAAAGCCAAGAAAACAGTACATTGAGGCTCCCCAAATAAAACTAGTAATAAGGCAAATTATGAAAATAATCTCTTGGAAGCCTTTGGCTGTACCTCGTGTTTCACGCATTGCTCAGGTGGGCCCAAAGTGGTAGGATGTAACGTGAGAGCAAATGGGTCGAGGGCTCGGTACCCTGCACCTCCCCGCTCTGCAGCGATGGGACATGTCCTCGCCTCTGCTTGCTGACGCAGCTGGTCATCGCTGGCTCTGGGGAGACAGGGCAGATTGTTCCTTCAAACAAAAATATTTGTCAAAATGGTAACTTTAGTCCTAAATTATAATTTTCTCTGGATTGACAATTTCATTGTTATTTTAGAGGAAAGTTTCAATAAATTCAGCCCTGTAATTACAGTGAACCACCTATGAGATGTTGGCTACTTGGCCATTTTAGCACAACATTTTAAAGCAGAGAGAAATCCTTTGAATGAATCTCTAAGCACAGTCACTAGAGATTACTAATACCTCTGACAGCAGCTTATTCCCATCAAATTTAATTGTAAACAGGCTTTACCAATCTGTTGAGATCATACGCTGCACTCCTGGGATACAACAAGTCTTTAATGTGAATTACTATTATAGTAAACATTCTGCAACATTTCCTGCAGTGAAACAAACACTCAGAGACCAACATTCGTTAGTTAACCTTGAAACTTCAGGTTTAATTTTATGACTTGAAAACAAAACACTGGGGAACACAAATGTCTGGCTAAAGTCATACAAAAAAACACCCCTTCAAATGATTTTTGTAAGCATCTTCGCATTTTATAGATCAACCACTTGAAACATCATTTCATGCTAAATCGGTAATCTGAAAACATTTACTTCCTCTGGCCTTAAATATTTCTCCATAGTAGTAATTTACTTAGGCATAAGTAAAATTAAGATGAAAGCTAAATATGGGAAGAATTATGGCCCCAAATCCATGCAAGTAACACCAATTGCATCTTTTTTACAAAACTTGGCATGCATGAAGTCAGCCAGAAATTCTACTCTGAGAAAACACAGAGTTTTACATTTGGTTCTCAGTTTTGAAACATGAAGTTACACTGAAGTGCCGTACTGTTTAAAATACAGATTGTGCATCACATGGAGACATTGCAGGTGTTGTAGGAAAACTGAAAAATTAAAGCATAGTTTTAAAACAATGAGAAAATTCAGTGCTCTGGCCGATGCTATTCTGCAGGCATTTAGCTCCATTGCACACTGTACTCTTTGCCTAATTCAAGTTGTAGCTTCGTGATTGTCAGGAGCTGTGAATAAAACAGACAAAATTACTGGTTAGTAACTCTGCCTTGAAGATCCACTGCTTTTTCTGTGTTCAGTAAAGGTAGTGGCTTTTTAAGTTACAAGAATTTATTCCTCTTCCTTTGCTTTTCTGTTTGTATCAGTGTAAGCATAGTTTAGCCAGCATAGATTTGGGTGGCTGGTCAGGAGGCTCTGATCCTTTCCCTTCATTCAGAGGGTCTTTTAGAACAGAGATTCCCTTTATTTTTTTAAAAAAGGAATTTTAGAAAGGCAGCAAAAACTTGGAACATGCTGAAATTCAGCTGTGCATATGAATTCCTTTTTTTTTTCCATCCAAAAGTCAATAGCAGAATGTAACATGTCATTCTGTTTAACACTTGTAACTCATCTTTTTGGTTCGGTACAGAACTTTTATACAGTTCTGGCCTTCCATGAAAGAGAGGAAGCACTAAGACTGAACAGAATACTGAGTTTCAAAGGAAGGGCAGTGAGATACCAGTAACAGAAGAGGTCAGGCAGTCTCTCTCTGCCAGAAGACTGGCAAGACTGAATGCCTCAGCAGTTCTGCTGTATTTGGAAGATGCTCTGTAGGAGAGCTGTCTCGAACAGCAATACAGTAACATGCATTTATTCCAGCTGCCTTTAGGAGTGCTTGGCTGGGGAGGCAGGAGAGGGTGAATGCCCTGGACAAGCATGGCCCATGCAGCTGGAGACACCGGTGCTCTGAAGTTGTGGAAGGTACACTGATAACTTTAGAAGAAGTGGGATTTGACTTGTACATGTAGGAACCCTGTGTTGCAATGCCTACAGCCAAAATATGACATGACAGAATAAGAAATGGTGGTGGGCAAACAAGGCTGGGAAATGAAAACGTTGTCAGACAACACTGACAGCAACAAGGTCATGCAGAGACTAATGAAAATACGTGTAGTGTAGTTGCTTTTCCTTCCTTCAAATGTCACAAGTTTCAGGTAAACTATTAAGAAGAGTGGAAAACAAGCACAAACCAAAATCCACCACTTTTCCACTGTCAGAAGCAGTTTGTGTTCCTCAGCAGTGATTTCTATGCGTAGAAGCTCTTCCACATTTACTGCACAATATTTACTATATATTAAACTGTGTATTATACAATCGTTACCTGATGGTAGCTTATGTATTTTGCTGAAATATATTTTAAATATGGTATTACACTGAGAATTGAATCCAGAAATGTTTAAGAGCGCATATGCAGTTGTGAAGGTGGCATTACCCTGCAAGTGGCATCTCACCTTCTTGGTGGTGTTGTAGTCCACACTGTGGGGCGATGTGATTGTCTCGCCGTTCTGTGATATGGTCACCTGCGTAATGCTGGTGGGCACCCCCAGGACTTTAATTTCAGTAAACATTAAGTTGTTTGGATCAGTATAACCGTCATGTGAAACCGTCATAGCTAAAACATTCTGAACAGAAAAGGGAAAAATAAAATTGGAGATTGTTGTTAGACTGGTACAAGTCTCTGCATTCCCTGCTTTATGCCTTCCCAAAACAGCTCTTCTGCCCCTGTCATCTCCCGCAGCACTCACAGGTCCCCTGGCATTCCCAGCTGCTGTGATTTTGAGCAGATGATGGGCACATGGTTTCTTTAGGCTGTACCCAGATCCCGTAGGTCTCCAGAGAGCGAATGCCATGTTAAGCAGCCCAGGGACAGTGCCTGCTGGTTCACAGCCCACGTGTGGTCCCATGCAAATGTGTATGATCTAATTCCATACTTAGTGCTTAGAGGGTATTTTCATTTTTCGTTGTTGGTTGATTCAAGACATTTTTAATAGGTTTTTCCTTACCAACTTTTTGTAAAAGCAGGAAAAGGTGCACTTATTTTATAAACTCCTTGCAACTGCAAATAGTGAATATTAGCAAAATAAACTTCTCTTCTGTAGCAATTAACATTCAATTATTTGACAAAGACAGAATTAAATGAGGGGAAAGAACAGTGTGGATAAAATTAGAAGATACTCTAGCACCCTGGAAAACTAATGAAATAACAAAATGTGTTTTCTATTACAATAGAAGAAGCATTTCTATTAAACGAAAAGTCCACATAATTACAGTCTAATTTAGTTCCATATTCAACTTGTTATGATAAAAATTGAAACCCAACATCCTAGAAATGCCAGTACTTACAATAAACACTCCTGTTCATGGACTTTGTTAGCCAGGAGTGCATGCCAGATTTTCTGTGTTGAAGAATAAAGAGAAAAAGCAGTCCTGAACTGAGGCAGTGACTCCACACCAGCCGCTGTGCAAAGCTGGAACTAAGCTGCTTTCTCTGCTCTCCCATCAGGCTGCTTCTCGCAGGCTTTGCAAAGCAGCGTGGCCAAGGCAGCAAAACCCAGCATCTCCCCATCATTTTTTTACAGTGAGGGTGGTGAAACCCTGGCACAGGTTGCCCAGAGGAGTGGTCCATGCCCCATCCCTGGAAACATTCAAGGTCAGGCTGGATGGGGCTGTGAGCAACCTGATGCAGTTGAAGATGTCCCTGCTCATGGCAAGGGGATTGGATGAGATGACCTTTAAAAGTCCCTGCCAATCCAAACTATTCTACAATTCTCTGGTCTCCTGCAGGATGCTGAGATGTTTCTATAGGACACATTGACCGGGGTCCACATGCACAGCTGAGGACTGGGACGCAATTTTATGACTCAATCACAAACACATCTCTGATTTGTCATCGATGAGAGGGCATGAGTAAGACTCATGAATGGGCCAGGTCCTGTTCTCCCCTCTGTCATTTTAGAAGGTGATTTCTTTTGTGGTTGCCAATGACTGTGTGTCCTGCTGCTGCCTTCTAGAACTAAGATTGCACAAAATAAATATAGTCTACTGCGAATATGGGCAAATGCACTGCTAACACAGATGTCCTCCTTCTGGCCCTGTGAACTTTTCTTTCTTTTTTCTTGAACAACAAGGCACAGAACAGCAAGGAGGACCCTGAGCTTGCAAAGTGGATTAGGAACAAATTCAGGTGCCCATCCTTGAGAAGAAACCCAAATTCTTTGTTGGCCAGACGTATTTCTTTGCAGTTGAAGCCAAGGTCAAAGCCTTTGGTCCTTAAAGCTTCCTGTGTGCAGCCTCCAGCTTCCTTCTCACCAGCAAGGGCTGATTTTCCTGGCACAGCTGTTCTGTCCCACTTGCATGCTCCAGATGTTCTGCACTGAGATGTGCTTTCACTTTATAGAAATATTTTAGAAAATAAATTTGTACTTTCAGAATTCTAACAGAAATTACAGTGCCATAAATGCACACCCTCTTTAACAATACTCTGAAATTGGTAACTTCAGAATCATTCTTAAATTTGATCTTGACACAGTTTAAACCCATTACTTGCAGTCTATTCAATCATGAACACAAATTAAGGTTAGGGTGGGATATCTACATGTTATGAAGTCCTAAATTTAAATACGTAAAGTTAAAAATATAATAATCACGTGAAGTGATTTTTCAGAAACAGATAACTTTACGTACCTGATTAGCAGTAAATGACGTCAGCAGATACACACCATCTTCATATGCGTCTGTTAAAAAGAAAGAATAAAATAAAATGTATTTGCTATTCACCTTATTTAACACAGTATCAAAAGTTTAGTTCAAGAATTGAGTCCCTGTACTAGGCACTCAGAGCAGTGCTGGTGATCGTGGGCATTGTAGGTTCTTGCCTTTCTGCACTACCGAAAACAGATCACAGGCATCCTGCTGAGACGCACCTTGTGATCTGCGCTAATTTAATTTATCACCAGACTTCCTTGACCGTAGCCATCATTGCTGACTGCCAGTGCTACCAGGCATGAAGCACCTCAAAATAGACTAACAGCTTCCTCAAACTTCCCGACACATCCTTATGCAAAATAATACCACTTTCTGTGTTACTTGCAGTAATCTCGGGTGAGAGCTTATTGTTATTACGAGGGTAATAGAGTCTGGATGGGAAGGATAAGTGACATTTAAGTATCTCTTATCTGATGAGGATTTAAATTTACGAATGTTGAGGAAATTAGAGCTTCCCACATAATCTACATTTATGGTTCCCATAGGTTTGAAGACAAATCTTTCTTGGCCGTATTGCATTAGGTCCAGGGCAGAATTTCGTTTACACAACTTACGAATTCTATAAATCATAGCATTATGCGGTTTAAATCGGGAAAAATCATTTTACTATACTGCTAATCTGAAGGTTTAATTTCCCTTTTGTCTCTGAAGGCACGTTCAGAGATGTCCTCCAGAAATGGAATTACTTTGGCCAGAGTCCATCATTTCCATCTGCTCCTCTCGCTCCTCCTCGCACACCCCATGCTACACTGAGGCCTGCTAAGGCAGAAGCAAGCACCGGCCCTTCTTTTCCAAAGTGATGGTTGAGCAATGCAGTGTCTTACAGCTTGAAGTTTCCATCTCAACAACTGCATGATTGCTAAAAACTGCAGACAGAGAAGTCATAAGCCAGCTATTGAGCATGATTTGGTTTTCAAGGACTGCTGTAATTTGTTTCATCTCTTCCCAGCTGATATCCAAGTTTTGGCTGTTTTCCTTTGGACTTTGAATACCTCCAAGTTTGGAGGCTCCACAGCCTCCCTGGGCAACCTGTTGCAGTGTTCAACCATCCTCGCAGCAAAAAAGGATTTTATGAAGTCAGGAAGCATCATACATACCAATGCGAACCCCATCATCCCAATAAAGCTGCCCTTCTGCAAACAGAGCGTCATTCAAAGCGACAGTGAGTCCCATGGGGTTTTTTCGGCTATGGAAAACAGCATAATGTTTCCTCAGTTTCCTCAGCTAATCACATTTTGTATTTACAGAAATTTAGAATTTTTAAAGAAATACTGTATGCCACTCAATTGATCTACCTTAGTCATCTTCCTAAGCCCATACCATTAAAATAAAGGAGACCATTAGGAGGAAACCAAAAAGAGAAGCCAACAATAAAGTTCCAGTGCTATCATACATGTAGCTTCTCTGAGGAGTGTTAGTATTTATATGTGATTGTGCAAAACTAGATTTTGAATTTTCAGTTAATCTTACCTGTAAAAAGTTGTATTAGCAGGTCTTTGCCAAGCAAGGATGTATCCACCTCGGATATGTAGGTTGATATGTTCCAAAGGAGCTGGTAAAATTCTGAATTGTTCCCTAAAGCCAATATCTTCATCCTATTTACAAAACAAACAATAAAATCTTCTGCTGAATTTCTCTCACTTTACCATTTTCTTTACTATGAAATAATAATTTTTTGGTAGACAGATTAATTAGGAGTTATTACTGCAGGAGTAACTACATAATGCTCTCAAGAGAAACTCTGAAATTATGTATCTGCCTTGACTGTAGGTGACAGCAGCTGAACCAAAGAGGCCAGTCAGGTGAAATACGAACTTGTGATTAATGACATGATTTTTGATGCCTGCTTTTCCTCTTATCAAAGCTTTTTATTTTCTGTGAAAGATGATGCAGCTAAACCTGTTTTGTCTTTCGCCATTTCATTATTCCTTACAAAGACATCATGTATATCATTTGAAGGTTAAAAAAAGTCAATAGCAGCCCTTCAAATTAAAGTTATTATTTCACCTTTTAATTTTATTATTTTACATTGTTTTACATTGTTACAGGAATCAAGGATTTTTATATCAGCTAAGTAGATGTTACATTGCTGAGAAATGATACTCAATGCAAGATTGTAAAAGAGAGAGAAAGAGTTCACACCTCACCACCACTCTCAGCTCACCCTGCTGCTGTCTGTGAAGAAGACATAGAAAATACATCCTTTAAAATGACTTACTGTGTAGTAATCATACCAGCGGGCATTGGGAAAGTAAGCATTCACTGTTACAGCATGCTGCAATTAAAAATACATGTTTTAGATACCTTAAATCAAAAAGTGAAGTTTAGCTAAAGTGTTTTTAGTATTTTCATTATTAATATTTGCATAGGTGCTGAAGAACATACCTGTTGCATCACAGGGCTGATGAGCAGTGCAGGTCCCCAGAGGAACTGCTTGTATATTTCCCAGGTTGTTCTGTCTTCCACAAACCTGGAAGTTAACAGAACAACGATTAGAGATTGCGTACTGAACTTTTACTAAGTGTTCCATCTTCAAGACAGTTTTGTCAGTAACTGAATCTACTGTTCCTACTATCTACTATTTTCTCATTTTTATTCTAGTATTAATAATTCATAGATCAATTAATGCTTGCCAAGAATGCATAAAGACCCTACTGTGAAACTCATTAGAGAAATGCAAACTATTTTTTTTTTTTTTTGTCATTTCTTTGCATTTGCTCTTCAGTGTATTTAGATCACAAAAATCGGAAGGTCTGTTGTGCTTGGCTGGTATTAGCCATAATAAGATTAGGTAGTGAACAGACTGGGAACCACTCTCTAATTTTTGCCACTTTTTTCTTAGACACTTTCTTTGAAAAAACCAAGTCAATATATGCAAAAAACTCAATGTTCCTTAGCCAAGACATGCACAGAGATACTAGACCACATCTAACTCCATAACAGAGGTAAATACAGCTTCTGCAGGCACTGCCCTGCCTGACAAGGAACAACAAAGGCTTTGTGTGTCTAACAACATTTTTTTTTTTTTTAAATCTGCTGTATCAGCTTGGACATGCATGAAAAATGTCACTTTTCCCTGCATAACTCTCATGATTTGTGACAGAATTCCCTCTTCTTTGCTTGAATTTTTTGTCCAGCTATTTTTGTAACATTTGTTTTTTGATGCTATATATGCCCAGTACTTTGTTGCTTGCCCCTAAAGAGGTTAAAGGTGAGCTTTGAAAATTAAATACTACTTCTAGAGAGGCCAATGCTCAATTTTGCATAGCAAAAAAATGGACAACTAGTGCTCTTCAAGTGAGACGATGTTGAAAGCTCACATTCTCAATCCCACGCTTTTTTTTCTTTTGAATAAAAATTGGTGTAGATAAGAGAAAACTTTATTGTCAGGAGGGTTGTAACTACAGAAGTTTTAGTGGAAATTCCTGATACAGGTGGCAAAGGAGTCACACTTACTCATGGAGTATGGGGCGGACCACAGTGCTGCCATGGGCATGGGCATGATACATTAATGTGTAGAGATAGGGTAACAGGGTGTATCTTATATTCAGCACGTTCCTGGCAATCTCCTCAAATGTTGAGTTCCAGGAAGCGGGATCTTGCCTCTGAAAGGGGAGAGACCACTGTTAGTCAAGCTGGATTGCTTCGTTCTGAAAACCTAGACAAGAAGTCAACACAGGAAGACAAAGCTGAGGAAATTTCTCCTCCGAACTAGAGCACCTTCATCTATTTATTCTTCAATTAAGCAGTAAGTGACACTAAAAACAGCAGGTGTGACTGTCAGCCCACAGAGGGACACTAGAGAGAGGGAAGGTGAGAAAAACCTCAGGGGAGGGGAATTAGTGTAAAATATGTGTAATGCAAAGTGTCCCGGAGGCGTGCCGCATCCCAGAGTACATAATTTATCATCCCTCTTTTCTGCAGCGCAGCACTCAGGACTTGCAAGAAGAGACCGAAGCGCTAATGACTGATGTCAGGGAGCATTTCCAATCTTTATTAAATGTATTGAACAATACCTTGGCAAATTGGGTAAGACTGGAAGCAACACGATAACCCTGAATCTGCATTTTTAAAGGCTTTAAAAGTCCTATCGAAAGGTGTGCCGCTGCAAGATAAAGCACACAGTTTTTGAAAAGGAGACTTTAATCCATTAGATATATGCCATATAAATAGCTCTACTCTGCTAGACCTGAAGCTTGAACTGGAAGAGAAGTGCTGTTTCCATTTTTTTATTTTTCCAGTTATCTTGTTCTACAGCTTTCTACAATATAGTCCTTAGCCAGCACAGGCCTACATTTAGGCAATTATTTTCCTTTACTCTTAAAAGAAATACAATATTTGATGGTGGTGAATGTGCAAAGCTCAGAAATTGCCAAGGCTTACTCCAGAATCTTATTACACTCTTCCACTTTCTCATTTGCTGTATAATTACGGACAATTAGGGCTGAGAGCACCAAGGTCAGTTTTGCTCCTTTAAGTGCTTTTGCCATAAAAGCGCTCTATTTTAGTCTTGCTGGTGCCGTGTGTTCAAATAAAAGTGGCATACAGGGAAAAATATGTAGGCATTTGATTCAGTCAAAGCAAAGTTAGAATATACGTTCTTCAAGTGCTCCAAATCCCAGAGCAGGCCCTCTGTGGGCATAAAACCTCCCAGGTGAGGGCCATGCTTACAGCACAGCTAGCATGTAAATAAAAAGCATTATTTATTAGATGAAGAGCCAAACATGTTCTTTTCCTGTCCACTTTGCTTGGAATGTCCCTTTTTGGAGGCAGGCCAGCGTGTGCAGTGTTCTGGCTGGTCTCCACACATGCATTGCAAGGGCCTGGCCATTCAGAACCATTATAAAATCACGACTCACCCTTGTTCCTTTCTCATTGTGATTCCTTGAGAATGGGTAAAACGCACCCAGCTGCATCCAGCGAGCACACAGCTCATACTCCGAGTCTTTGAAGAAGCCACAGATATCAGCTCCTGTCTGAAAGTTTAAAAATGACCCACTTGGAATACTATAAATTCATGTGCAGCATGAAGATAATTAAATGTAAGGTAGTAACTCATTAGCTTACATAAGATATTCCAAAGAGGCTGAACTCCATCATGCCTAAAAGGAAAAATATTTCAATGTTAGTAGCTGGTGGTTTTTTCCCCATCTTTGGTATGCTATTGGTTACATAGATAATACTCTAATGCTGAATGTGAAGGAAAAATAAAACAAAACACAAAGCCCTTGATTTCTCTGAGATGTCATGTTTTTCTGCTACAGAAATAGATGCGAGCTGGTTGGTCAGGAGCAAAGAAAGAAATGAGTGGCAGGACATGGGGCAGGAATGTGCCCAGTCCCAGGGGAATAAAAGAGCTCCCAGCACCCAGTGACAAGGCAAAGAAGAAGTAAAGAAGGAATTGGCTATGAATTTTGTTTGCTGAACTAAAAGGCTTATTTCAGCTAAAACCACATAAATACTAAAAGCAAGCAAATGAAGGAAAATAAATAACTGCGCACAGTACATTGAATACAGGTCCTTTGCCTTCTACATACCAATGATAGATTTGGATAGCTGATCCCAAGCTGCACTGTTATCACCAAGCCAGTGTCCTGCCCATCTTCCGCTACTGGGGAATGTGGAACGGGTGATAACAATCCCACGCTCCTTGGTGGCATGCTGCAAACCGCTGACATTGAAAATAGACAAAAAACCAAATTACATGAGCAATACTACATGAGAATTTATTACATGGGATCCTGTTTGAAAATCAGCGTAAGGGCTTATATTTTCATAGTGAAAGGCAGCATTGTTGTATGCATGAATATGCCTACATCCAATCCAGATGTGCTTTTTACAGCACTATGAATCACACATGCACAGAAACCTAGCAGTGTCAGCCAACCTGTAGCTGGAAAGAGAACCGGCAAAACAAGGAGGTGCTAAAATACAGATTTCCAGCACAGGCTAATTACTGTGTGGGAAAATACAAAAGTAGCCCAACCAGCTAATTTTCTAAGGGCTCCATAATGCGTTCCAGGGCACATTATTCCTTTCTTAAATTACCTGAAAACTTGCAGCAACAGTAGAAAATAATTTAACAAAACTCATACCAAAAAGATCATACGGGGGGAAAATCGAGCTACCAGGAATATTGAACCAGTCAGTGTAACTCTAGTTGCCAAAAGCGTATTGGAACAAAAAAGTCAGTCATGGATCTGTAGTCACTTCAGAAACACCAAGATGACATGATATCAATATGAAATGACCAGCAAGGATTTGTCTAGAAGTAAAATATTAAACCAGCTATCTTCTGCTCGGGGCAGGCAACAGGCCTGACAGCTAAGGAGTAACTACCAAGGTGTGTGACTTTGCATTAGCCGATCTCTTGGTCTGATGACATTTGGCTTCCCCATAAGAAGAAGAGGTTTTGACCAGAGCTTAGTAACCTTTTGAGCATGGTGGGACTTATTTTTCATTCCCATTTCTCAAATAAATAAATAAATAAATAAATATTTCCTTAAATAAAGCCTTGGCCGTCGCCACAAAGTACCTGCAAAGGTAACCAAGTATAATTTAGAAAAAAATAATAAAATTAGCTGAGTTTGTGGGAATTTGTGCTTTCTAGTTGCTCTCCAAGGATATGAGCACCTTTCTCAGCATCCCATGCTGTTCGTCTGCACTATGGGACTGGCACAAAAAACTGTCACGGATGCATTCGTGCTCCGCTTTATTAGAACAATTCCTTCGCAGCCGTGCACACGTCCTGTGAATCATTACAGCAAAATACTAAACCGCAATACTAGTTAGAAAGCTACACTGATTAAATCGCTCTGCTCTCCAATGCTGGCTCTGCAATAATTGCCTAAACAGCTGCTTCAATAAGGCACTATTTATTTATTTTTCTACAGGATTTGCAGCTTTAGTGACACTATAATTACAGCAAAAATACACAAGTCACTTAAATTACCGTAGCAATTAAACCAAACTAATGTGCTGTAATTATTTCTTCCAAGACAAACAGTAAGTTTTCTAGTATCTTTTATTTCTTTGTAATGCACTACCAAACATGTTCAGCCTCTGCTTGGTTTGTCCTACTTCAGCAATGCTTTGGAAACTGCAGCTAAAGTTTCGAATGTGAAGGCAGTGTGTGTTGTGTGTAGAACTGCTCCAGGACGAGCACGGTCCAAGTGTTTTGCTGACTGGAGGTGCCAGCTCTCTGCCTAGGGGCTGAGCCACAGCTGTGTCCATGGAAAGCGCCCCCTCTGTCTAATGGATGGAGAACACAAATTACATCGTTACATAAAAATTTACTGTTCACTTTTAAGTTATAGGCTTTAGTGAGCTTTACATGCAGGCGATCTGCCTGTTTGGAAGGTTTAATATTAGCACAAATGATTACTATGACACGTCTTCAGCTGCACAACTACTCCTTCAGTTAGTACCAAAGAATAAATTGGGAGCTGATATAAATATATGTGTGTGTATATATATATATATTTTTAAAACTCATATATGTGTATAAATTTCAAGTGTGAGAATGTCTGTATAAGCTGTGTAATTTATGATAGTAATTTCTATTATGGTGCTTCTCAAAATGGAAGAAAATATTTCACTACTTTTCAGTTCATACTTCATACACAGAAAAGTGCTCCTCTTCTTGCTCAGTTATTGTCTACTTAGACTGCCCAGATCACATGTGATTTGGCTGATGGCAGAGGCATCAGACATTCCTCCCTGTCCTGTCAGCAGTTTTGCTCCTGCCCTGCCTGGCAGCCCTGCAGTGGCATGCTGGCCAGTGTAACATCCACTGGGTCAAAACTGCAAGCCGCCTTGGTATTTTCTTTCTTTATGGCAATATCAAAGTTACCAAGGGCTTTAAGGTCATTAGACCTAGAAACCAGCACTGTTTCCTTGCTTACTCATTGAATTGGAAATGAAACAGCACATGTCTTATCTTTAGATCAGACTTTATCTAAAGCAGACTGGGGTACTATTCAGAAAGGAACAGATAACGACGTTTGCCTTGGAACTGGTAAAATAAATTCTTAAAAGGAAAGACTCATGCACACAGTTTGCATTTTAAAAGTCACTGTTTCCCCTTTTCACTACTACTCAGTTTGTTCTAAATAGAGGACGTAATTGAGCCCTTTGTAAATTAACATTATTCAAAAACTGTATTCCTTTTCCCTCCGTAGATGTACAGCATAAGGTGAAAACAAGGTCAGCGTTTGGAGTAAACCAGTCTCTCCCAGCAAAACCTAGAAACAAAAAGTATTTTATGTTCTAATGGCAGTAATTATGTGAGACTGTCCTTGGGTAATTACTGTTCCCAAGAGCTGATCAAAATGTTCAGACCTGTTCTCCAGTCCGCCTTGTGACTGAGCACCCGAGCGGTGTCTGTTGACAGACCACTCTCGTGTACAATGCAGAGCATCGCGCCGGGATGGCCTTGGTGGCTGGCTCATAATAGAAATCACTGCTGAGAAGGCAACATGCTGTCTTTGAATGTGTTGGGACAACGCAATGCTCGATGGCGAGTAATTACATCCAAATGAAAGTGTATGAGAAATAGCACCACGACCGTCTCATTTCACAATACGGGTCAGCAATTAAGCTTGCACAACATCACATTTGTATGGATGAAGTCCTCAGAGCTGGTATACCAAGAATTGCTCCCCACCTAGGAGAGCAAGAAGTTTCTTTACTAGCAGACTTGGGTAAACTGTCTTGAAATCGTACCTTGAAAGTGGTGTGTGCTCAGGGTCAGTGATTTGAAAGCTGCTAAACTCCAAATAAAGACTTTGCCTGCTTGTCCTGAGACAGTCAGTGATGCGGCTGCAGGTGTAGACATGCTTGAGCTGTCATGGTTTTTTCTTCTGGCTGGCTCCAATTGCAGAAGGTATTCATTGCAGTGAAAGCGTGGAAGCACAGCTTCAGCTCAGACCTGCAGAGACCCACCTCACCTTCTCCTGCACATCCTTTCCAGCAGCTCAGGTTCCTACCACCCTGCTTGCACCACGGGTGAGATCACTGCGCTGAGCAGCAGTGTGGCTGAAACAAAACCAGCTGCAAGAGCTATAGTAGGGCTGCTCAAGCTTCTGAACACCCAACTCCACTTCTAGCTGAACCGAACAATCCAAGATAGCAGCATGAAAAGAGAGATTTCTCAGGAATGTTAAATAAACTGATGAATGTTTTGGCCATAAGAACAGACACAGAATATTCGTTTGTAGCATATTATGGAGACAACGAGAAAGTATGCAGACTTCACTTACTCTAGCGTAGGTTTTGTTTGTGACCATCCATAAAGGTTGTGGACATCGTAGTGTCTAACAGGGGTACCATCAGGAAGGTATTGTTGTCCTTCCATGCATGGAGTTTTGACAATTAATCCATCTGACCGGTATCCCAAATCTAATGGAAAGGAAACAAAAATATTTATGTTTTAATGATGAACACTGAATAATGGTCTGAGTTACTTTTTCTTAATGTTCATAATCTCTTTGGTGTTCGCTCTCTTTTAGGCATGTATACTGTCATTTATTTATTTATAATTATAAAAATAGCATTTCCAGTTTTCTGAAACAGAATATTTCTAATATTTTTATGCAGGCATCTGGATCTCTAAGTGTGTTAATAGCTCAGTTACAGATGCTCTTACTGAAAAGGCTTGAAGAGTAAACAGAGCGTATCTAAATTCAGAAGATACTGCTAATCTTTGTAAACACATCACCCACTCAAACAGAAAAATGCTGGGGTGGAGGGGCATGGTCTGTGTCTGAATATTAACTTCCTGACAATTCCTGAGAAATTAATCATAATAAATGAAGACAGCTGTAAGCAACACGACTATGCTAATAAACCATTAATAAATAAGAACTGATTAGTACTAGTTTACACCAGTACTTAAATAAAGCCAAGCTAAGTAAGCTAAGTATATCAAGTATTTGACTATACAGATAAATGATAATGAGAGGAGACGTAACAATTTTTTCTAAATTTTTAATTAATTGCATTACTCATCTGAGAAAACTGCAAAACAGAGAACTGCATGCTCTACTATTCCACAAAAAAGCATCTATGTATAAAATAGGTATCAAAATCCATATGCAGGGAAGTAGCTGAAAATAGCTTTATTTTTAAAAAGTGCCATGTAGTTACTGCTCCCACTGAAACAGATGGGGTTGAAGTGTGCCCATAATCTCAGAGAAAAAGAATCACTTTCAGTTAGGAGTTGTGGGTTTGTATACCTAATTTTAGGCATTTACACCACATATACCATATAAGAAATTACGTAGCAATCAAAATGACCTAAACTGCTTTAAGGAGTGATCAGACTTACAAGGTACGTATGGTGGCATATTTAGGAGGTCATTTCTACAACCACCAATGGCACCATTCAGAAAAGTTGCTGGTTCATTCATGTCCTGAAAACATAGAGCAAAACCTGATTGCATTTGCTTCAAATCTACAAAACACACGAAATTCTGAATTACACACAAACAGCATTGTAGAAGCCCTCAGGAGCCCCTTGCAGCTGCAGTCTCAGTCTGCCGTTCTATGTTGTCTTGACACGTTCACAGGTGGCATGGTGCAGGGACAGGGAGCGACAAAGTGTTTCAAGAGAAGAGCAGTGAATCTGGGCTCTGTCTCCCCTGTGCAAACAGTGTCACAGTGGAGGAAGAAAGTCACGATATAGCAAGGCAGTGCAAGTGTACAACCTAGAGCCCAAGTTACAGCTTTGGCTAGGGGCTCAGGTTCTGCCTGGTGCTCTGCTTGTTTTCCCTCCAGTCTATTTTTTTATTTTACTTAATGCCAGTTTAACACCAGATACCCTCTGAGCATCAACAGCAGTACATACACTGTGAAATATGTCTCTCTCTCTTCTAGTGTCTGGCAGAGAAAAAAAATCTGGAGAGGAAATGCATTTCTACACTTACAATCCACAGGCCATCAAACTTGATGCTTCTCGAGGGGTTGGTGGGACTGTTGTAGAATTCCAGGATTTCTCTCTTCCACCACTCCACTGTGGAATTGCGGAAGAAGTCTGGGAAGGCAGCATGTGCTCCATAGAGCTGTAAAAATAGTAGGAAAATGGAACAGATACAGGGTTGAAAGTATCCTGCTGTTAAAATGTTGACATTTGTTTTAAAAATTAAAAAAATAATATTAGTTGCTCACTAACTTTTTTGCTGCAGTTAGGAAGGCTTGCCAGTTTCTGCACCTCTCATCCTCCCACGAGATTTATCAACTAGTTTGCTGCTATTTTGGTTAATTAATGTGCTGCTCTGTCTGTATTTGAGTCCATAACCCAATCATATCAACATTTACCTCTATTTGGGTTTGCTCAGGCAGTGACTCGTTGACTTCTACATTGGGAAGAAATGGCCAGACCTAATAGGACAAAGGGCATTTTAAAATAATCAAACCACACTGAATATAAACTGAGCATCACAGTTTAGCATCATCGTAGCATACAGACAGATATAACTATTCTTCCCTGATACCTATGCGAATGACAACACAAACTGAAGACAATTCAGTTTGTAGTGTTTATTCAATGTCTCATTTACAGCCAGGCAGGAATATACTGTTAGCAGACTTTCCCCCTGTGGGTATCAACCACTGACACCTAGGTTGACATGTTGCTCACTTGGATACAGGATGCGTCTACTGTCATCGACTATTTAAGAACAGTACCTTGGAATATATAATGTCATTGGTGTTGGGCCATTTGATGAAGACATTGTCCTGCACACCTCTTGAGAAGGGAGGATAATTGGTTTCATTTGCAGAGATGGTTGGATCCTACAATTAAAAAAGTTATTCGTCTTATGCTCAAAAAACAAGTTTAGAAATGCAGTGGACTATGTTCTGCATTGTGCAATGATATAGTGAAATTTAGAAGCAATTTTCAAAACTGACCAGGATGATGATGAATCTCATTCCTTCTTCTTTTATTTTGTTAATCAGAGCTGGCAGTCCAGCAAAACGTGTGCCAATGGTGAAGTCCAGTTGCCTTTCCATATGGTCAATATCTACATATTGGACATCCTGCAGTACACAAAAATCAATTAAAGTAAAATGAATTTTTTTCTTTTTTTGCCAAATATATATTTATTGAAAATCTGCCAAAATAAGTAAACTCCAGAACTTTTGAACTGTAAAATTGGAAGCAGCTGCAACTTTCACCTAAAGCTATTAAATGAATATTACACAACCTATCAGCAAGTCTAATACAAAATAAACCTTTCACTACTGCATCTAGTCTGACGGTAAAAATTAATACATGATAGAGAAAAAAAGTCCTGGATTTGTACATATGTGTATGTACACAGAATCTGCACGTATGTTTCCATATCTATGGGGAAACAGTGGAAACATTTGTTCTCTATTGAAACAGTGATGTTAATTACATTTAAAATGAAGAGTTGCATTCAATTTACAGTATAACTTTGTTAGATCTATGTGCTATTCCAACTTTCCCAACAACAACCTGTGCCAAATCATAGCTGACTTGACACAGAGCAGTATACCATTGAAATAATGCTGCTTCATTTTCTTTCTTGCTTTTTTTTCTTGTTGATCACTGCTCCTTTATAGCCAGCATGGCGAGAGTCCATGACTGACTAGAGCATCTGGGTGCTTCTTTGGTATGAATGATAAGGAAAATAAAGCAGCCTGAAGCCTACATTTAACATGGCCCACAGTGTGCAGAGATGTTCAGTGCTGGCATAAAACATAGTCTGCTGTACTCTACCATGGTGGTGGGTTTTTTGGTTGGTTTTTGATTTTGTGTTTAAATGGTCTTAGTTAATACTCTGAAGCTAAGAGTTCAGGCATGAGCTCAAATGTTAACCGCTACCAGCATACATAGGGAATCCTAGCTGTCTTCATTTCCTCCACCAGCTGGGCAACTTCTGAGTCATTCCTGTATCCATAGCGGCACAACTGGAATCCCAGAGCCCAATAGGGTGGCATGACTGGTCGTCCAATCAGCTAAAAAAAGAAAGAATATTTGTGGTGAGTAGGTGAAGACAAAACAAACAAACCAACCAGCCAACGCCCAGCATTAGTCTGTAATAGAGTAAGAATCCTACTGCAGTGTACTCCTGAACAACAAGTTCTGGTGTTGGGCCCAAAACCATGTAGAAGTCGAGAATTCCTCCAATGGTGCGGTACGTAAGGGCAGGGGTCGGCTGGAACGTCACATCTGGAAACAGGGAAAGTGAAATGGGAAAAGGATGCCTGGATTTGGCACTATTGCAAAACACTGACCAGAAAAATAAAGTACACTGAGGAAATAAGTGAAGGTTTTCTTACCCATTGCATTACTGTTAAGCAAGAGGACTCCATGGGCATTGTTATCTTCTTCAAGAGCCATGTAAAATGGATGATTACCATAGGAATTCATCTCATACTGCAAACAAAATAAAATACATTCTACTGGGGAAACATCACAAGCATTCAAGCATTTACATTTAATTAATAAATTTAATAAAAGACGAGATTCACAACTGCCAAACATACAACAAATAAACTCCAAAATTATATTTGGATTATCCAAAATTGCACCCTATATACCTACTAAGCGTACCTACAGAAGATCATTTTCTACTTCACGATTTGAGTCAGTCCTGTTCAGACTGACCGGGAAGGAAGGAAAGCAAAGGTATTACTGCCTTTAAAACTTGTTGATGAGAAAGTGCTTCCCCAGGACAAAGTTTTCCCTTCTTTTCAAACAGTAGCAGGTGTCTCTATGACCAGGAGGTGCTGGTGACATTCTGTTATCTTTCATTTATTCAAAAATACACTGAAACCTGAACTGGAAATTGAAGCTGTAATTAACCACCACTATTTCATTGGTCATTCCCTGCAAATTGCAAATGTTGTGCTGTCTCATAGGAAGTAACACAAGCATCCACATAGAAACGAGATTTCTGATTTACCTCTGTAAGTACTAATTTAATCCCAACGTAGTGGGAGTTGTCCTGACTCATATCTATCTTTCAGAATAATTAGCTGAGAAGAATGTGCTGTTATTTCTAAGCCATTTTGTTGTCTCACGATATCTGACTCAGGGCCGGAGCTCCACACGTTGGTCTTGCTGGTCACAAATAAAGAATAGGTTTAGAGAAGACCATTGCCGTCAAGACACCATCAAAATTATAAGCCATGATAAATACAATCAAAGTCAATAAGTGTGTCCACTACCAGTGGACATCCACTGGTCTTCGAAGTCCTGCCAAACACCTCTGGACTTTAGGCTCATTGGTCCAACAGTTACATTTTCTTCTACTTACAGTAGGAGGCTGATCCCTTGTGAACATTCCCCAGGTGTGCCAGCTCATGTTACTTCGAAACATGGTGTGCTCAGTTTCTCCTAATCCATATATATACTGGGATGCTAAGCGGGTAGAAATCTGAATGAACATGTCGCTGAACGTGAAGGTGGGCAGCTGCGAATCCCAGCTAAAACGGAAAGAGGAAAACAAAACCAAGAATATAGTGTCTTCGGTGCTGTGTTTAGCTGACAGATGCTTTTTTTAGGCTACTCTTTTTCTCTGAAAATCTCACTCTTCAGTACAGGTGGAATAAAACTGTTATGGATATCGAGAAAACTTAAAGCACATGAAATGGGGATATTTAAGAATTTGATACACAGTTCAGAGACACAAAGTCCTCTGTGTCTGTCAGAGAGATAGATATTACGCACAGGCATCATACACAGCAAGTTGCATCATGTTTTGGCAGTTTAGTGAGAAAAAGCATTTCAGGAGAGTATGGTTGTGTTTTCCTCCTAAACTTATCCTTGGTGCCATGTGGAATACAGTAAATAAAGTATCTTTTCACAGTTCACTGAACTTTTTGTTCAGATTACACTGAAACAGTATTCATAGGTCTTATTTGTCATAAATCAGCATCTTTACAGTCAGAAACCAAACTGCAAGCTGGTAGTGCTCTGCCAAAGAATTATGTTGTTCCAGGATGCTGAACTGCCGTTTGAGTGATTACTCTGGTTGGTAAAAAGGAACTCAACTTGCAATTAAGTTTTGAGTACTTTAAAAAATGACATAAGAAGTTGGTTTTTTTTAATAAAAAACATAACACACACAACTTCTAACATCATTGTTCCCTATTTTCTGGCTTTGACTTAAGCTTAATCAAGGAAAGAAATGAAGCTCCTGTCAGAATTATTAGCTGTCGTGTTACCAAAATCCATCTGGAAGTTAGCCGAGACACTACTTTCTGCTATTTTTTTTTTCCTAACCATTCCACAAAACTGAACTAAATGATCCATCCTTACTGATTAGTACTGTGGTGAACTAAGGAAAATATTAGAAAGTGTAGAAAATTGTTGTGCCTCCCAAAGACTTGGGAACACAAGAAATGGCCTTTGGAGTTGTCTATGTTCCGCACTTTAACATGTTGTAAAGGAGTTTTATCAAGTGTCAGACCATGAAGTGACAGGAAAAAAACTTTGACGATTATGAGAAAAAATCAGGTGTTGCTCAGGGCACCTTCTTCGTCCTCCCCCTGGTCCATGCTCTCATACAACACAATGGCAAAGCCATCTTTGCAGCACCTGGCATTTGGCAGACAGAGACATTTCGTGGGAAGGATACAAAAGCCAGTCTTGAGGCATTTAAAAAGTAGTACACAAGAAAATGGTTTGGCTCGAAAAGAGCTAACAAAACCAAGTGAAATAAAATAAAATGATTATGGCTTACATGACTGTTCCTGTGCTTTTGCGCAGAACCTGTATACCAAATGGTTTTTTCTGAAGTGATACTTCATAGAGTCTGTCGTTGTCCGTGCTCGTTGGGGAGCTCGGGAGATTCAGTGGTACAGGAACCTCGTATCGTGCATTTTGATAATCATAAATCTATGAAGTAGAATTCAATTCATTTCAATGAATAAGTTGTTTGAAATCTTGCCTATAGTGATAGAAATCTGAATTAATGAAAATGAATACAAAAACTTGTTGAAAGCATTTGCTGAGTATTTTCTTTCAAGATGTATTCTTTAAACAGTTCTTTATCGTGCATTTTGATAATCATAAATCTATGAAGTAGAATTCAATTCATTTCAATGAATAAGTTGTTTGAAATCTTGCCTATAGTGATAGAAATCTGAATTAATGAAAATGAATACAAAAACTTGTTGAAAGCATTTGCTGAGTATTTTCTTTCAAGATGTATTCTTTAACTAATTCTTTCACAGTATTTGGTTTGGGAAAAAAACCCAAAATCTTAAGGATTTATTTTGGATCAGGAACCACTTCTCTAATCATTTATATATATGAATTTAAAGGACATACCTATATTTGAAATGTAGGGGGGGTGTGTGTATATATATATATATATATATAAGTATGGTAAATACCTTTATGATTAATCTTTTAGCCAACTTTAAGAGATACTTTTTAAAGTTTTCTGTATTCTGGACACTGATATAAGTTAGTTTTTGATGCCTGTCCATTTTAAGGTCACACACTTATTTCAGTA